GAGTGGGTGAAGGCTGACAACTACATTCTTCTATCTGACTGTACAATAGTAATCAGGCCAGATGTAGAGTTATATATTGCACACATCTGGAAGCAAAATATGCATTAATTCCCTGAGAGATGGAACATGATCCTAATGTTTAGAATAACTGTCGTAGGCTATGGTTTGGGCCACGTCCCATTTTTCCTGGCTGTATCTTAATTGGCCCGTGGGGCTAAATAAAGTCTTTCTGATTCTGATTCTGTAGTGCTTCCCAACAATCCTGACAGTAATCATTGGGCAGCTTCTACCTTTACGTTTATTCTAATAACAAAAAGAGAAAAAGGTTTTTTGGTTTTAGAGGAACTGGCTGTTCAAACAGAAGATGCTGAAGAGAATGATGACTGTGTTTATTTGTGAATGAGGGTAAATGAAGCTTTGAGTACTCGAGTAAAAAAGTACTATGTAAGAATCAGTCCATTTAGCCTTTATCCATCAGTTTCCTTCTGTTCACCCAATCCTGGAGTGTGGGCTTGCTGCAGCCTATCCCAGCTCTCACAGGCTGACCCTGACCAGGACTGCCACAGGGCAGGAAAACAAGGAACTCTAAGCACTGCTGGTACCGTCTGAATGACAAGTTGAGGTTGTGTAAAAACATCTGATATTGTGACGCTGCAGGTAAAAACCAAAGTCAGCATCAGAGTCACTCAGTGTGAACTACCTCTTTGATGGCTTGCCACTTTAAGGTGTCTTCTTCACTGATGATGCTGTCGGCCAAGCTGATGAAGTGCTGGCTGAGCTCCTGTATGTTGTCCTGGCTGTAGTTAGTGTCGTGGGTAAACGGCTGTGAGGGGACGTCTGCAGTTAGAGACAGAAGCTGTATGAGGGACATCATGTCTGCTGGCTGCAGTCCCTCGTCCCGGGTGTCCTCCAGGGCCTGGACAGAGACGTCGAGCAGGGCGGATGCCTGGGCCAGGCTGCTCAGCGCTGATGGCAGCATCAGCTGGGAGAGGACACAGCGAGTTTTTAGTGTGATTAATATTTACTAATAACTTTCTGTGACATCAGGTCATTTGAGTTCATGTGTTTTTATTCGTGTTTTCCTGTTGGAAAGTGGAAAAAGTCTGATAAAGAATTAGAAATCAAATTTAAAAAGTCTGGATACAGTCTGGATACAATTATTGTCACAATTATCACAAATAGCACAATAACAATATAATCACAATGTGTTTAGGAGGTGAAAAATAACAGTTATGTTATTAGTCAGCGTCACCTCAGATTTATTTTTAATTTAAAAAATGCAGATTGATGTAGTTGGCAGGAGACACGAACTGCACAAAAGTATACAAAAAGAAAAAACAATCTGATTTCCTAATGATAGCATGATCTGTATATCACTGACACACTATCAATATTTCATATGTTGCAGTTACCCCTCCGTGAATCGCTCCCTTATCATGGTGGAGGGGTTTGTGGGAGCGTCTCCCTATCAGGGGAGACCAGACAACGAGTCATTCAGACCCACTATGAGCAGAGATGAAGGGAACTGTTCACCCTGCCTGGGGTAGGTTACCCGGCCCTGCCCTGGAGCCAGGCATTAGTCCGGGTACAGCCTGAAAAAGGGACATGAGCCCACCCTCCTGTAGACCCACCACCCTCAGTGGCGCATTAGGGGTTGGGTGCAATGTGTTCTGGGCCAGGGGAGGCTGGGGGCAGACACCCTGACCGATCCTTGTCTACCAAAACTAGCAATTGTTACATGCAGTGTCACCTGTCTGGTGTGGAAAGAGCCTGGAACCAGTCTCCTGATACTTTTCAATGCAAAGTATGTTACTAGATTTAAATAAAAATGCATGCAGTTATAAAGCATGTAGTATGACATGTAGAAGTGTACCTGGCTCTGGTTGGAGAGCTTCATCAGCTGGCTCATGAAAGCAGTGGGCTGAGAGCTCTGAGAGTCACTCATCTGCTTCATCTTCAGGTAACGCTCTGCCAAAAACAATATGACATGAATGCAGGTGATATATAGTGAGGGCAGCATGCACTGCTGCTCACAGATCATTACTCAGTCCTGGGCCTGCTGCAGCCTCCGAGAGTACAACACTAAACTCAAATCAGAAGTGACCTCCCTTACTTAAAGCTCAGATAGTGTGATTTAGTTACAGGAGGCAAAGAACTGAGACTATTTTATTAATGCTCAGTCGAGGACTGTGACTCCAGTAACCCTGCTTGAAACCATTTGTTTTACCATAGATCAATTCTTTTGATCAACATTTAGAAGAAACTTGGGGACAAAAAGATCTGTGACTTCCTGTTTCCTGCTGACAGGAGAAGTAAAATGAAGCTATGGAGAACAACAGGAGCATCTGCAGGGGGTGGGGGGGGCAGGGGGTGGGAGGGGCAATGGGAAGTCAGAAGATTTCATTAGAAGTGAATACAGTGCAGGAAGTCAGTGTAGAAAACATGGAGGATCGTTTTCATGGTCATCGTGGTAGGCATCTGTTTTGTTTTGTACAGCATCAACTCCTCTCACAAAGCATCTTTACAGCAAATGTTTCCAGCACAGCTGAAAACTGCATGCAAACAGGAAAGATGTGACCCTGATGTGACTTCAACGCTTACATTTAAATGGCTTAAACTGGTGGAAGGTTAAATAAGTCCCATCATGCACCAGACCTCTGCAGCGTACAGCCTGTGAGGCTCACCTCTGCTGCTCCTGCAGATGAAAGGCAGGAGATCGTGGCAGTCCGTCAGACCCGACTGTGGAAGCTCAGCTGACCAGCCCTGCAATGTTCTGCAGCCCTGTAGCTCCACCTGCTGGTGCACTGCTGCAAACACGTACCAATGGTCACACAAGACAAGAGTTAGTATGAAAAGAATATCTGAAGCCTTGTTAGGTGTAATTAATGGACATTTGATTAAAGCAGAAAACTGAATAATGGTTTTAAATGATATCAAATTGTATCTCAGTAATGTGCAAACACAAATGAAACCTATCTGAGTGCTGATAAGAAACAAACTGTGCTCAGATCTAGTAAGAGGAAATATGGGGGAGTAGTCAACACTGCTAGGAGCTGTTCCTTCCCGAGCCGCCCCCCCACACACTGACTGAGCTCTGGGAATCCCCTGCAGTCATCCAGCCCTCCCTGCACACTTTCTTTCTGCTAGTTCTGGAAGCATCCCAGACTTTTCCTGTATAAATTTAATTCTTTGGTTTTATACTAAAGTAAGAATGTGACAGAAAGGCTTTTCTGTGATGCTTTGTGCAAGAACACATGAAATAGTCATAAAGATTCTCTTTTTTGTGTAGACAGTATAGTTAGAATCAGTTCCTCCATAGTTAGAATAACAGGATGTAATTATTTTTCATAGTTTAATTTTACTGATGACTGTACATCAGTAAAATTTTAACTGTTTGCTGTTATTTTACACAAGTATTTTTTGTCGCATTCTTAAAAAAGTAACTATTTCAGCCCCTTGACTGTTTTATCCAATGACTACCTTTTACATGGGTTACTGTTCAAATGTTTATTTGTTCTTGTAAGCTCGGCTGTCAGCCCGGTGGCCAAACCAGGTTGACCTTTGTTGTGAATTGCCAATAAATAGATCAAACTGAATGAAGTGGATTCAGTTATATTTCTGTGTTACACGTGGCCAGCTGAACCTTTACATAATTACTTTTTAGTCATTTATTTTAGCTTTTGCAGTTCTTTAATAAAATGCATAGATTACGTTCAGCTGTCCTGTTAACCTTAAATTTACTTACTCATCACAGCTGTTTAATTATTTAACATTTTTAACTATTTATTCATTATTTATTTGTCTTT